AAGAAGTAAAACCATTACTATTTTGTTTCACCGAAAAACCATTTAATAAAATAGTCTTTTCGCTATCATAAGGCGGATCCACGAACAAAAAATCATTCTCTTTAATTAAAGGTAATAATTGTTGATAGTCTTGATTAAGAATTTGACAATTACTATTATTTAAATATTCGCTAATGGCTAAAATATTTTCTTTGTCAAATAATTTCACTTTCTCCTTTTGTCCTCACGGAACATTAAACTCACCTTGGCTATTCACTCGGTATAAGCCATTATAACCAGTTTTGTTGAGATAAATGAAGCGGGCGGCAATTTCTAAGTCAGACAGATTTTTAGGTTCCTGCTTTTTTAATTGTTCGTAAAACTCTGGACTATGTTTTTTTTCGTATGAGATTAGTAATTTGCTTAGTTCTTGTGGTTTTTCCTTAATTATTTGGTAAGCAGTAATAAGTTCGCGGTTAATATCATTGATGATGACTTTTCCGGGTTGAATATTTAAAAAAACGGCTCCGCCTCCGACAAAAGGTTCAATGAAATTGTTATAAGAAGTAGGAATTAATAAATTAATTATCTCTAAAAGTTGAGTTTTACCACCGGCTCATTTGACAAAAGGTTTTAATTTAAGATTTTTTTCTTCTTTATTCATAACAATTATTTACTTTTTCTGACTAATTTTTGTTATTTCCGCCCCCAATCGCTCATAATCCATTATAACCGGTGAATGAGGAGCAAAAACCACTAAGGGTTCATTAGCAATCCGACTTTGGTTAATTACTTCGGCTTTTCTAATCTTAGCCCCACATAATTGTTCTTGATAATTGCTTAATTCCTTTTCAATATACTTATTAGTTTGTCGGTTGCGACTATCATAATTATTTCAAATAATCCGTCAAGGAAAATTCTTGCTTTCTTTGATTTCTTGACAGGTGGTTAATAAATCGGCCATGCCGTCCAAAGCCCCTTTATCACTAGTTAAAGGAATCAACACCAAATCCGCACAATATAAAGCATTAATGGTCAATATTCCAAAATTAGGGGGACAATCCAACAAACAATAATCATACTTTTTCTCCGCCTTCTCCATTTTTCCTTTTAAAATCTTCTCCCGATGATATTTACTACTAATCTGCTCGGCTACTTTGGCTAAGTAAATATTACTAGTAATAATGTCAATATTCTTTACTTGTTTCCCACTAACATAACCCGGATTAATAACTTTTTCAATACTGATCCGGTCTAAAAATAAATCTTTAATATTATATTTAGACTCTGCTCCACTATAAATAGCCCCACTATGACCTTGAGGATCACAATCTACTAACAACACTTTCTTTTTCTTCGCCAACTCATAAGCCAAATTAACAGTAATAGTGCTTTTGCCCACGCCCCCTTTCTGATTCACCACTGCTATTTTATACATATATATTATTATTTTTGTATTTCTCCCCAGCACTACAAACCTAATAATTTCTTCTCTTCTTCTTTCAATGCCTTACCTAAGGGCAATTTCTTTCTGGCTCGTTCTTTTCGTTTGCGTTCGGTTGCGGAAGCGGGTCGGTTAGCGTAATATTTATAAGCACCCGGTCGTCGCTTAATTAGTCCTAATAAATCCCGCTCGGTAGTAGTTATTTTTTGCCCGACTCTAAATTTTTCATGAATCCGCCTAACTTTTTTCCGCTGAGCCTCATTAATTCATTTTTTCGGTCGGCCTCCTTGGTTGCCCCATTCCACTCATTCGTCATAGTCGAAGTTGGCTAAATGTTCGGGCCGACCATAATAATCAGGATTATCAAACATTTCTCTTCGGCTTTCATATTCTCTTTTACTGAAACGAGTATAGACCTCATCTCCTCCTTTTATTTTAATGGTTCGGGCTTGCCGATTAATTTTAGTTTTTTTACTTGGCATATTCAATTATAGATAAGTGTCTAATTCATACTTTTCCTTATAACGGTTTACGGACACATTTTTATTAGGGGTCCATGAAGCCTCCTATTATACGGGGTTCGGAGGCTCATTTTTGAATGTCACGCTAAGCAATATACAATTATTTTAATAAATATTTTCCTCTATTTTCAAGTTAAAAATTTTAGTAAATAAAAAACTATTATCTATTTATTAGATAATAAAAATTAATTAATAATGGCACAACTTTTTAAAGACCCTGACCCGCGACGAAAATGAAAAGGTTATCGCCTCCATTTTTATGCAGCCGAACATTTGCCTCCCGATAGCAAGCCCTTACATTGAATACATATTCATTTTCGTGGACCGGCCAGAGAAGTAGAATTATACTTAAAAAGCGGTTATCCTAATTATCGGATAGTAAAACAATGAGGAAAAATCCCTGAGGAAATCCAAACCCTAATGCGAAAATTTGTGCGGGATAATTATCCGGATATTATCGCTAAAATCCAAAAAGATTTATGAGAGGTTCGTATTGAATGGGACGGAACTTTTTAAAAATAATTTATTATGGTAGAAATAAGAGAAAGAGAACAATTAACTGAGCCTAAAATAAGCATTACGTCGGAAGTCCGAATAATTAGTTGTCAAGTAGTTAAAGACAAATTAATAACGCAATTAGACGATGGGAGAAAGGTTATTATCGCTATTAATTTGCTAACTAAATGGGGGGTATTAGATAAAGAAGTTAAACCTGAGCAATTAAAAAGTCCGGAATTGCACAGCGAAGGAAGATATGTTTATTTCCCAAAAATAGATGATACTTTACCAGTTAGGGTAATTAGTGAAGGAATATTTAAATCTTGTTGGGAAAATAATAAAACTATTTATTAGTTTTATAAAAAACTTCTTATAAAATATTTATATGCCGCTCTTATTGGAAAAAAATGGTTATCAATTTTACTTCAAAAAGAGCAAACCCTTAATTTCTTACAAAAAGCCGCATGTCCACATCCGAGGACAAGGAGGTCGCATAGAATTCTATTTACCTAGTCTAACCATTAAAAAAGATGATAAAAGTATGCCAAGGAGTAAAGTAAATGAAATTAAAAAAATTCTTCAAGTCTACAAAGCAGATTTTTTAGACGAATGAAATAAAATTAAAGATAAAAAATAATTGTATGAGAATTAACAGAGTTAATATTAAATCCGAGTCGCGGTTAATGCTGACCCCCAAAAAAAAATTGTGTCAGCATCCCCAGATTACTAGTTTAGTTATAAATAAAAGTAAAATTAAGGCTCTTTTGGCCGACGGACGAGAGATAAGCATTCCGACTAGTTGGCTTACCGAGCAATCAGTCCCTTTAACTAAATTACAAAAATATGAAATTTGAGACGGTTATGAAATCTATTGACCAGATTTAAAAGAAGTAATTGGTGTAGAAACTTTTGCCGAGGGCTTATTAGGGGCTTGCTGTGATTATCATTAGCGAACTTGTGAGCATAATACATATTTCCATAAATACATATTTTATACTTATAGTTGTCCAACTACTATAAAACTAGTAAATAGTTTTATTTCTTCTTACTAATCTCCTCCTTCAAACTTACACTAAATTTACACTTGGGCACTTTTTTGCTTGGCACTTTCATCTTTTTCTTAGTCTGTAAATTCATAGCCATGCGAGGAGCAGTCATGACAGTTTTGAGAGTAAAATAACCTTGTAATCTCACTTCTTCACCTTTTAAGAGAGATTTTTTGGTTTCTTCTAAAAGTTCTTCAATTATTCTCGATACTTGATTTTGCGGATATTTAGTTTTTTTGGATATTCTTTCGGTTAGTTGGGCTTTTCCTGTTATTGACATATATGTTATATTAATTAATTATATAATATAGTAAACCTAATCTAAAATATAAATATGCGGTCGTAGTTTGAATGCTCTCGGCGCGGCCGCATTTAGA